CCCCCCCCTCCCCAGTTGTCAGGGCGACGCGCTCGAAAGTTGTTGTTTTTTGTGGTCGGGACTGGTTCGAACTCGCTATCAAACTCGAGGTACAGAAGATGTGTGTTTTCTGAACTTCTGGTTCCTGGGGTCCGGTCCCCTCATCGCCTCCTCACTCCTCTGAAACTCTGTGAATGATAAGGGTAGCGGTGTAGCTGGACCGGAATTCAGTAAAAAAATCCAGATTTCTCGTTTATGTTTCAGAAATCACCTTTGTGTACAACCTTTCTACAAAAGCTTTGTGGAAGGGTATTCAGTGAAGTCTTTCATAACCCGATCTGCTGATCTGAAAGCACTGTGTGTTACAATGTTGTAGTATATTATTATTATTATTATTATTGTACAGATTAGTGTCCCCCATCACAATAGCAGGGCATTTGCCAGCAGTTATATCACCTTGCAGCTCCCCACTGGCAGCCCCACTGGAGACTCAGCAGGTGGGAGCCTGGCCAGTACCTGGAGGGGAGACTCCTGGGAAAGCTGAGGCTGCTGCTGGAAGAGGTGTTAGTGGGGCCAGCAGGGGGCGCTGCTGGTGGATGATTATGAAAGTTTACAGCCAAGAGGAGCCGTTCAGCCATGGCTGCTAGTATCTTGATCATCAGAGGAGTGTGTCCAGACTCTTCTGGAAGAATCCCTGGAAATAAAATTCAGGATTAAGATAATTCAACTCATGCCAGACAAAGGAGTCAGGATAACCCAACTCATGCCAGGTGAAGGAGTCTTTGTTTTGAAGCATGATGTCATCAGTTATCCAGACGAGGATGAGGATGATGATGGTCACTAAGATGAGGAAGGTTGTGGGTCACTGTCACATGAGGATGATGATGGTCAGTGTCAGATGAGGAAGGTGATAGGTCACTGTCACATGAGGATGATGATGGTCACTCAGATGAGGAAGGTTATAGGTCACTGTCACCTGAGGATGATGATGGTCACTCTTAGATGAGGAAGGTGATAGGTCGCTGTCACATGAGGATGATGATAGTCACTCAGATGAGGAAGGTTATAGGTCACTGTCACCTGAGGATGATGATGGTCACTCTCAGATGAGGAAGGTGATGGGTCACTGTCACATGAGGATGATGATGGTCATTGTCAGGTGAGGAAGGTGATAGGTCACTGTCACATGAGGATGATGATGGTCCCTCAGATAGAGGTGATACCCACTGTCAACTGAGGGTCAGATGAGGAGGATGATGGGTCACAGTGGGTCACAGGTGGACAAGACGTAGTGATACTGCTCAACAGAAGTTCAGGAGCAGTCTTACTGTTTAACCCATGTGCCTGAGTGTCCCACTCCAGAAGGTTACAGAAGGAACCAGCTTCTAAGCACATTCTGATAGTGGTCTTTTAACGAAATGTTAACGTTCCTCTGCCCTTAAGGACCAGGCCTTCCTTAATTGAACAGATGATTTGCTTAATTGACCAATTAAGCAAATACTAGGACTACCACTCCAGGACAAGAGCTCTTATTGACCATGTTGCTTCTCCAGTAGATTGTAGTGCTGAAGTAATGCTCACGGGTTCTCGGCCTGAGCACACTGATGTGATCTTTGGCTTTAGAGCCCACTGTCTGTACAGTTGTGGCAGCAGTGGTTGTGTCTTGTGGATTTCTATCTGGAAGGCTGTGGAGACTCTACTGGTGAGCCCCTGAGAAAACTACCCCACCCCTGACTGCTTCTGTAAAATACCCAGCTATATACAGGGGGGCAACAGTATGTACATCCAGCTATCTGTTTTTGAACCACATTATTCAACACAGAGTCGTGGGGTTGAGCTGGAGCCTATCCCAGCAAGCAATCAGCACAAGGCAGGATAGATCTTGGATAGCCAGCAGCCATATTACCCTGCAACAAACCACTGACAGCCCCACTGGAGACTCAGCAGGTGTGAGCCTGGCCAGTACCTGGAGGGGAGACTCCTGGGAAAGCTGAGGCTGCTGCTGGAAGAGGTGTTAGTGGGGCCAGCAGGGGGCGCTC